AATTCCATGTTGCACTAACTTCTTGAAGTGCCATCATCCAAAGTTTAACCCTGTTTGGCCTCTCATTGCAGCTTGAACTTTGCTGTCATAGCATTGAGCCAAGGACATAGGCCTTTGCCCTATTTTTTAATACTGAGTCTCAGTAGACAAAACTTCAAATCTTCTGACATATATTTCCAAAAGCTTGCTTTCTTTGTTTCAAGGTTGATTTTTGTATATTTGAAAGGCATAATGACAGAGAGAGAAGGAGAGAGAGAGAGAGAAAGAGAGAGAGAGAGAGAACTTCCACCTGCTAGTTCATTCTCCAGATTGGCACAAAGGCCAAGTCTGGGCCAGACCGAAGTCAGGAGCCAGGAGCTTCTTCCCTGTCTCCCACCTTGGTAGCAGGGGCCCAAGCACATGGGCCATCTTCCACTGCTTTTCTTTCTTTCTTTCTTTCTCTCTCTCTCTCTTTCTTTCTTTCTTTCTTTCTTTCTTTCTTTCTTTCTTTCTTTCCCTTCCTTCCTTCCTTCCTTCCTTCCTTCCTTCCTTCCTTCCTTCCTTCCTTCCTTCCTTCCTTTCTCTCTCTCTCTCTCTCTCTCTCTCTCTCTGTGTCTCTCTTTTTAAAAGGTTTTTATTTCATAAATAAAAATTTTGTAAGTACAGCTTTTGGATATAGTGGTTCTTCCCCCCATACCTGCCCTCCCACCCCCACTCCCATCCCACTTCCTACTCCCTCTCCCATCCCATTCTTTTTTTTTTCTTTTAAAGATTTATTTATTTATTTGAAAGTCAGAGTTACACACAGAGAGAAGAAAAGGCAGAGAGAGAGAGAGAGAGAGAGAGAGAGAGATTGATTGATTGATTATGGTCTGCAACAGCCGGAGCTGTACCAGTCAGAAACCAGGAGCTAGGAGCTTCTTCCAGATTTCCCACACAGGTGCAGGGGCCCAAGGACTTGGGCCATCTTCTACTGCTTTCCCAGGCCATAGCAGAGAGCTGTATTGGAAATGGAGCAGCCAGGTCTCAAATTGGTGCCCATAATGGAATGCTGGCACTTTAGATGGCAGCCTTACCCGCTACGCCACAGCACCGGCCTCTCTCATTCCATTCTTCATTAAGATTCATTTTAATTATCTTTATATACAGAAGATCAGCTCTATACTAAGTAAAGATTTCAACAGTTTGCATCCACACAGACACACAAAGTATAAAGCACTGTTTGAAGACTAGTTTTACTGTTAATCTCATAGTACATCTCATTAAGGACAGAGGTCCTACTTGGGGAGCAAGTGCACAGTGACTCCTGTTGCTGATATAACAATTGACAGTCTTATTTATGATGTCAGTGATCACCCATAGCTCTTGTCATGAGCTGCCAAGGCTATGGAAGCCTTTTGAATCCACAGACTCTGTCAGTATTTAGACAGGGCCATAATCAAAGTGGAAGTTCTCTCCTCCCTTCAGAGAAAGGTACTTCTTCTTTGATGGCCCATTCCTTCCGCTGTGAGAACAGAGGTTTTTCTTTTGGGTAATTTTTTGCCACAGTGTCTTGGCTTTCCATGCCTGAAATGCTCTCAGGGGCTTTTTAGCCAGATCCCTATGCCTTAAGGGCTGATTCTGAGGCCAGAGTGCTGTTTAGGGCATTTTTGTCATTCTATGAGTCTGCTGTGTAGCCAGCTTCCCATGTTGGATTATTCTCCCCTTTTTAATTTTATCTATTACTATTAGCAGACACTTATTCCTATCTTTATGATCAGTTATGCAGTTAAAATGATCACTTTAACTAGTAAGATCTTCCACTGTTTTCCCCAGGCAATTAGCAGAGAGCTGGATTAGAAGTGAAGTAGCCATGGGATGCCAGCATTGCATGCAGCAGCTTTACCCACTATGTCACAACACTGGCACCTATCATTGACTTCTAACTGGCATAATAAACATTTTTTTGCCATTTGATATTTTTTCTTTCATTCTTTATACATACATTCATTCAACATATATTTAGTGAACTCATGCTAGAACTAAGGCAAAGTTCTTTGGGCCAGCTCCCTTCTAACCCTTGGTGGAATGGAGTTTACAGTCCAATGGAGGAGAGACACTGGACAAAATTATCTATGTTATAGATCACAGCTGGGATAAGTATCACAAAGGAGAAATGGGATATCCCAGGAGAGTATCTGCTACTGGCCCGAACCAATCAGTGGTGGGGACAGCTCTTTGCAGAAATACAGTTTCCCCAGTGACTGAGGCATGATTAGCCATTGAGGAGGTGAGGAGGTGAAGAGGTAGGGTTGGAGATGAGATCACAGGCAGGGAGCACTATTCACATCAGTGCTGTGCTGGCCAGGAGGCTGTCACTGAGCGTTGAGGTGCAAAATGAAAAAGGTCATCAGGTATGAATTTGCTGTTGCTGTTTTAACCATTCTTCCTGTTGTAGGAACAGTGAAATAAAGGGAATGGGAGTGGGTACAGGGTAGCCACTGTTGGGAAACTACTACTATAATCTGGGTAAAAGATAATGATGATTTCTACCAGCATACCAATAGTGCTGTTGGAGGGAGTGGATAATTTTGAGATATGTTTGAGAAGTAAAAACAGCTGACTTGACCTTTGAATCATCTGAGTTAGGGGCATTGGAGGAGTGGGACTGAGAAGGAAAGATTTGGACAAGTGAGGCTGTGTGCCCCTGGGATATACAGAAGAGAAGCAGAATGGGCAGAAGCTCAGAGTAGAAGTCTGGGCTAATGATACAAATTAGGAAAAATCAGATTATAGCTAGAAATTGAAGCCCAGGGATGAGATATTTAGGGGCATGGTGTCAACTGAGAAAGGAAAGGAAGGTAAGGAAGCCTGGTCTAGAACTTTGAGGAACTCCACCAGTTATGAGCAGATAAGAGTAAGAAGTGACCAAATATGTCCAAATCAAGTGGCAGAACAATCAAAGACAAGGCAAGAGGGTGCGTTGGTAACAGACAAGGAAAAAGAGTTTTTCCAGAAGGGTCCCTGGAACAATAGTTTAATGCTATTATTAAAACAGAGACTAAAAAGTGCACATAATTCAATAGTACAGAGACCAATATCCCGATCAAAATTAGTTATGGGTGCAAAAGTTATAGTGGAGTGGGTTTGGGAGTAAGAGAAGTTGAGAGAGCAAGTGTCATAATTCTTTCAAGGAGTTTGACTTCCCTGGACTGTCTGTTCCTTTGCTTATTTTCCAATTGTGATTTTAACATTGATATTATTGTATTACATGACCTTTATGGCTGTATTATATAATATTTACTTATTTATTTTCAGAATATTTATTTTTTTTATTAGACAGGTGGAGTTATAGACAGTGAGAAAGAGACAGAGAGAAAAGTCTTCCTTCCGTTGGTTCACCCCCCAAATGACCGCTATGGCCAATCTAAAGCCAGGAGCCAGGTGCTTCTTCCTGGTCCCCCATGTGGATGCAGGGTCCCAAGCACATGGGCCATCCTCCACTGCCTTCCCGGGCCACAGCAGAGAGCTGGACTGGAAGAGGAGCCACCGGGACTAGAACCGGTGCCCATATGGGATGCCAATGCCGCAGGTGGAGGATTAACCAAGTGAGCCATGGTGCTGGCCCCTGTTTATATTACTTTTGATACATCATTGCTTCATTTTTATAGTTAAGTAGTTTTTCCTTATTACTTTTTCCATTGCTCTTTTGCTTAGAAATCTTTCTGTATATAGCAGTTACATATTCAAGTTTATATTATTCCTTATATATATATGTATATATATATTTTTTTTGATAGGCAGAGTGAACAGTGAGAGAGAGAGACAGAGAGAAAGGTCTTCCTTTGCCGTTGGTTCACCCTCCAATGGCCACCGTGGCCGGCGCACTGCGCTGATCCAAAGGCAGGAGCCAGGTGCTTCTCAATGCGGGTGCAGGGCCCAGTGACCTGGGCCATCCTCCACTGCACTCCCGGGCCATAGCAGAGAGCTGGCCTGGAAGAGGGGCAACCAGGACAGAATCCGGCACCCCGACCGGGACTAGAACCCGGTGTGCCGGCGCCGCTAGGTGGAGGATTAGCCTATTGAGCCACAGCGCCGGCTCTCCTTTTATATTTTTTATTTATTTGAGAGGTCAAGAGACAGAGCTCCTATCCACTGATTCACTCCTTAAATGTCCACAACAGCTAGGGCTGGATTGAGGCTAGTGCCAGAAGCTGAGAATTCAATCCAGATCTCCCATGTGGTTGGCAGGGACCCAATTGCTTGAACCATCATTGTTGCCTCCAGGGTCTGCATTGGTGGGAAGCTGGAGTAAGGTGCTGGAGTTGGGTATTGGAACCCAGGCACTTGATATGGGATTATTTCTCAAACATTAAAATAAATTTGTTGGGGGCTGGTGCTGTGGCTTAGCGGGTAAAGCCGGCACCTGCAGTGCCAGCATCCCAAATGGGTGCTGGTTTGAGTCCCAGCTGCTCCAGATCAGATCCAGCTCTCTGCTGTGGACTGTGAAAACAGTAGAAGATGGCTCAAGTCCTGGAGCCCCTGCACCCGTGTGGGAGACCTGGAAGAAGCTCCTGGCTCCTGGCTTTGGATCTGTGCAGCTCTGGCCATTGCAGCCAATTGGGGAGTGAACCAGTGGATGGAAGACCTCTCTCTCTCTCTTATTCTCTCTCTCTGCCTTTCCTTCTCTCTCTGTGTGTAATTCTGACTTTCAAATAAGTAAGTAAATCTTTAAAAAAATTAAATTTGTTATGTTATGTAATAAATTTGTCACTCAATGTTTCATAAAAAATTTTTAAAAATCCTTATGCAATTTATTTTTTCATGTCAATTTAAGGTAGAGTAGAAACCAGTAAAGCTGGTTCAAGTTGATGTTTTAAGCAATTGACTACAGCCTCATTGTATGAGGAAGGCCTACAGATCAAGAAGATAAAATTTGAGTTCCTCAGAAGATTTGCTTAGTTAGGAGTTTGTATTCTGCCTCTGTGCTAATATTATAAGTCTTTTATTTATATTATGAATTTTTAATCTTGTATTCCCAGTTTCCTGCTCTTCCCCGAATGACATCATCTGACCACCATCCCAGAAGGCATTCTCACGAGGACCAGGAATTCCGATGTCGTACCCACATGCGTGATTACAGAAAATGCTCCGGGGATGGGTCATTCAAGGAACCACTGGAACCGAAAGGAAGGTCTCATTCCAAAATTCAGGAATTTTCGGAGTCCTTTGAACAACAGCTGTGCTTTAGAACTAAACGTTCTGTCTCTTTGGTATGTAACAGAGCTATTGAATCTTTAAGCCCACGTGTAAAAGGAAACCCAACAGGTGCATGCTTCTCAAGTGTGAGGAGAACAAATCTAACTTCTTCATTCACAGCTTGATGATGAGCTCTCTGGAAAATGACAGCTAGTTTAAGACAGCCCCATGAACACAGTATCTTTAGTGGTTATTTTTGTTGAAGACATCTGGTGTAGGACGAATTCCCAGAGGACCACATGAGGAATGCTTTTATTACCAAAGTCCTCCAGTTCTTGGGCCTGTTTTCATCCACCTCAGTATAACTGTCATGCATTCTCATTTTACTATTTGAAGAAGACAAAAACATATCTGATTGTGTTGTGTTCCCCTGCACTTAAAAATAATAATAATAATAATAAAAAATACAGAGAGGGGACTCTCCTGACACTGTGGTCAGGATCCAGGGATAGGAGTAGTCCAGGTGCTCACAGTTCCTCTTGGGAGCCTCAGGAAAGCACAGGGAGAGGAGAGGAATGGAACAGGGGAGACCAGAAACTCCACTGATGATGTCAAAATGGATACACAAACTCTGCAACATGCTCACTGATACTGAATGGAGGTGAGCAAAATACTTTTTTGTAGATTTTTTTTCCTTTTTGCTTTATTTTGCAACCCAGGAATAATAATATGCTGCTACCATGTAGTAGGTAAAGCAAATACTTAATTTTTTATTTTTTATCTTTTTAAAGATTTTATTTATTTATTTGAGAGGTAGAGTTACAGAGAGAGGGAGGGACAGAAAGAAAGGTTTTCCATCCACTGGTTCACTTTCCAGATGGTCAAAACAGCCAGAGCTTTGCGGAGCCAAAGTAAGGAGTCAGGAGCTTCGTCCTGGTCTCCCACGTGGATGCAGGGGCCCAAGCACTTGGGCCATCTTCCACTGCTTTCCCAGGCCATAGCAGAGAGCCGGATTGGGAGTGGAGCAGCCGGGTCATGAACCAGCACCTATATGGGATGCCGGCACTGCAGGCGGCGGCTTTACCTGCTACACCACAGTGCCAGCCCCTAATTAGTAAATTTTAAAGTCAGGTATATTATCTGTTGTTTAGGGACCAAATGTATACTAATATATAGATTTCAGTTTTACATATTTTAGCATCAAAAATAACTAGAAACTACTTCTGTGGTCTAATTGGGACCAACAAAATTAAATTCCTTGTATTTAAAAAAATCAGTTGACTCATGATAATTTTATTTTTATTTTTAAAAAAGACATTTATTTTAAAGGCAGTTACAGGAGAGAAGGTGAGAGAGAAAGGGAGAGAGCACACACACACACACACACACACACAGAGTCTTCCATCCACTGGCTCACTCCCCAAATGGGTGCAATAGCCAGGGCTGGGCCAGTCTGAAGTTAGGAGCCAGGAGCTTCATCTGGGTCTCCCACATGGGGCCCAAGCACTTGGGCCATCCTCCACTGCTTTCCCAGTTACATTAGCAGGGAGCTAGATTGGAAGTGAAGCAGTTGGAACTTGAACTGGAACCCGTATGGGATGCCAGTGTTGCAGGTGGCAGCTTAATCCACTATGCCACAACACTGGCCCTGACTTATAATAATTTTCACATTTTGTTTTTAAATAATGAGTAAGAAAATATATTAACAGATCATTATTTCAGAGCATTTCTCAGATAGTGCTTATTTTCAATAAGGGAAAAGCCAAACTGGAGGTAATCATCACTATATCACCACTGCATTTTCTTTATTAGATTGCTCTGATAAGTACTAGAGACATCCATGACTGCTAAATATGAATTTTGATCAAATGAATGCATGTGATGGAGCTAGTGAGCTTCATTGGCAGTCCAATTTTTAATTTATTCATAACTTGTATTTCAGCTTCATTGTGTGTTTTGCTTTCTGACTTTAATCAGTGGACAATTATGGATGGGAAGGAGAAATCTAGGTCCAAAACAGAAGAGTAGCAGATACCACTGCAGTCATCAGATAGTTCCATGACTCACAAGGCTGAGTCGTGACCTGCTCTTGTGGCTGCCATTCACCATTACCTATGTTCACTGGATAGACACTCCCATTGTTCCCAAAAGTTTCCAATTCAAATAAGGGAGGAATAATGATTTTGCTTACTTATTTATTTTTAAAGTGTATTTTCATTGTACTTGAGAGCCAGAGACAGAGAGACAGAGAAATCTATCACTCCCCAAATGCTCACTGTACATAGGGTCTGAGCCAGGCCAAAGCCAGGAGGCTGGAACTCACTCCAGTTCTGCCAGTTGGGTGGCAGGGACCCAAATATTTGAGTCATCACCTGCTGCCTCCCAAGATGCACATCTGTAGGAGGCTGGATCAGTAGAAGTGGAGCAGCAGGGACTAGGCATTCTGATATGGGATGTAAGCATCCCAAGTAGTGGATTAACTATGGCACCAAATACCCACCCCTACTTATTTATATTTTATTTATTTCTCAAGATTTATTTATTTATTTGAAAGTCAGAGAGGAGGAGGAGAGAAGGAAGAGGGGGGAGAGAGAAAGAGAAGGAGAGAGAGAGAGAGAGATCTTCCATGTGCTGGTTAACTCCCCAGATGGCTGCAATGGCAAGGGTAGGGCCAGGCAAAGCCAGGAGCCAGGAGCTTCATCTAGGTCTCCCATGTGGGTGGCATGGGCTCAGAGAGTTGGACTGCCTTCTGCTGCTCCCAGGCCATTAGCAGGGAGCTAGATTGGAAGTGGAGCAGCTGGGACTTGAGCCAGTGCCCTTTGAGATGTCAGTGTCACAGACGATGGCTTTTCCTGCTGTGCCACCATGTTGACTCCTACTTGTTTTTAAAAATAAACAGAAGTGGGGCCAGCGCTGTGGTGTAGCAGGGAAAGCCACCACCTGCAGTGCGGGCATCCCATATAGGCGCTGGTTCAAGACCCGGCTGCTCCACTCCCAATCCAGCTCTCTGCTATGGCCTGGGAAAGCAGTGAAGAATGGCCCAAGTGCTTGGGCCCTGCATCCACATGGGAGACCAGGATGAAACTTCTGGCTCCTGGCTTTGGATCAGACAGCTCTGGCCCTGCTCCCTCTACTCCTTTTCTCTATGATTGTAGATCTATCTCCCTCTACTCCTTTTCTCTATGGTTGTAGATCTATAGATCTATAGATATATAGATTGTTCATCTATTACCGAAAGCTACATGTGAATGCTGAATGCTCAGGGCTCTCCTCTTGTCTGATTCTTCATTGAAACCAGAGCATACCCTTCTGCGTGTGCATTTCTACCCCTTTCTCAACCTTCTCTTTCAGGGCCCTGAGAGCCGAAAGGAGAGAAATGAAAGAGAATGTCTGAAGATGGAAGTGAGATCCCGAAAGAAAGTGGAGGAAAGAAGGAACTCTATGAAGGAAGAACACAGAGAAGCGTACATGGCCCCTCTGATGGAAAAAGGGCCTGAATAGTACTTAGCTTCTACATCACGATGACAGGTCTGCAGGGTTTTTTGAGCCTCAGGACTCCCTTTCGGGATGCCTAGGCGGCAGCTGTGAAAGGTCTCTGCAGATGCTAATGACTGAGGGGGGCGGTTGGTACAGCTGCTCCTCAAGGTGACGTGCAACACCCTCTACCTGCTTCTGGTGTCTCAGCTGAGGGTGTAATCTGCTTTCTTGCCCTTTTATGGGAATAAAAATAATACAAGCTATTTTAATAGAATAAAGTAATTTTTGGAGAATGCAAAAAAAGGTAAAGAGCCACCCACACATCCTCTTGATGAATCCTTTTACCATGTACATCAAACTCGCAAATTGTCTTAATAAAAGCCATTGATGTAACTCTAAGTTTGCTTCCTTACTATAAGTCATTATGTAAATATGTCTAATGGCCATCATTTAAGGAGAACTGATAATTAAGTAGCCAAGTACTATGCTGAATGTTTTAATGCATTACCTAAAATAAGTCTTACCATGCTGAGGTGGGATTTTTTTATTCATCAGAGTTCTCCAGAGAGGCAGACCAATAGAACAGATAAAAAATAGAGAGATGAGGAAAGGGACCTTTAGTGGAGTTAAGCTGAAAAGTCAAAAATAGGCTATCTGCAAGCTGGAGAACTAGAGGAACTGGTGCATGGCTCAATCCAGGTCCAAAAGCCTCAGAATCAGGGAAACCAATTCTATAACTCAGTCCAAGGCCAAAGGCAGGGAGGTGGGAGGGAAGAGCACTAGTATAAAACCCTGGGAACAGAACTTGGAGAGCTGACGTCCAAGAGCAGGAGGAGGTGTCCCAGATCCAGGGTAGGGTTTACCTTTCCTCTGCTTGTGGTTCTATCTAGAACCTCAGCCAATTGGGTGGTGCCCAGTGCATTGCATGAGGGTACATCTTCCTTACTCAGTCCACTGATTCAAATGCAAATCTCTTCTGGAAATCATTGGCACAAACATACCCAGAAGTGATGCTGTATCAGTTACCTGGGTATCCTTTAATCCAGTTAAGTTGACACCCAAAATTCACCATCACAGGGCTATTCCTTCACTTTCTGGTTGAGAAAACAGAAGTTTAGAAGAGTTCTGTAGCTGGCCAATACGGTGGCTGATTTAGGACCTGAACTCAGCTCATGTTCCTGAAGCGAGTTAGGACCTTCATTTCCCTTTAGAAGCTGGTCCCAAGTTAATATGTGTGTGATGTGCATGGCAAGGAGCATTTGCAATACAGGCAGGAGTGCAGTACTTGATATCCTCAATTGTATTCCCAAAATGGAAATCAAAGAAGAAAGAAATGTATCCAGGGAATGGATTGTAGTCATTACCTGCTTGCCTGTAACTGTTTCAGCCTCTGCTTGCTAGCACAGAGTCTTGCCAGAGAGCATACAGCTCAGTAAGTATGTGGAAGAAATACTAATGTATTTAAGGAAAACCAGTTAAATATCATCAGTAACTATGTATGCATGCTCAGTATTGCATTGCTTCCTTGAACTGCCACATACCATTAGAATATCCAATGAAATGTATGTGTATAACCACATTTTGGGGAATAAGAAACTAAAAAGACATATAAGGAAATGCTTCTCTTTCTTTGGGGCTTAGTCTTTTTGGATATGAATCCAACTGAACCTTATACCATCATCATCACCATCATCATCATCAAGACTGCTTCCTGTTGAAGGCCTTGGTGTCTTGTCTCTGTTCATGAATCCCACTACAACATGGAGGAGTGTAGAAGATGCTGCATAAGTATCTCTCAGACAGCAAACTCTTCTGAAATTAGAGGCATGGCCACAGTTTTTGCTCCCAGGGGGATGGGCACACCCACCCCCAAGGAATGTGGCCTCGGGAGCAGCAGGGGCCTAATGGATGTTAATTGGTACCTGGGGGCATTTTTGGGAATTTGTAAATTTGTAGGAGCATTTAAATGGGTTTGTCTCTGAAGATTTACAACACAGCTCTAATCCCTATCTTAGACCACCAGACCAAATTCCTTTTCCCAGATCCTTAAGTTGATATATAACCTTGCCTACGGTGGCTTGTAGAATTGTTGGTACCCTCTAAATAAAAGTGGGAGCGCATGACTATCCATTGGCACACTCTGAGAATGGACGCTCCCGTGTCCTGTGTCCTCATTTGAAAAGCCCCACAACGGAGGTAAGTTTATTTTCTCCTAAAAAAGTTTTGAAATTCATGCACATTTTTTTTCATAATAGAATTCTCCATGAACTTTTCAAAGTTAAATTTTTATTATTTATTTATCTGAGAGGAAGAGAGAGAGAACACATTCCCTTCCATTGGTTCATTCCCAGGGCTGGAGTTGGGTGAGGGCCAAAGCCTGGAAATTTGGAATACAACCCAGGTCTTCCACGTAGATGGCAGGAACCTAATTATTGGAGCCATCACCACTGTACCCTTATTGTCTACACTGATGGGAAACTGGAGTCAGGAGCCAGAGCTAGGAATAAAACCGAGGCACTTCAATGTGGGACTTGGGCATCTTAACCATAAGACTAGAGGTTTGCTCCTCCATGAACTTTTTCTTTTTAAAGATTTTATTTATTTATTTATTTGAAAGGCAGAGTCACAGAGAAGCAGAGGCAGAGAGAGAGTCTTCCATCCGCTGGTTCACTCCCCAAATGGCTGCAATGGCTGGAACTGGGCCGATCCGAAGACAGGAGCCGGGAGCTTCCTCCAGGTCTCCCCACGCTGGTGCAAGGGCCCAAGGACTTGGGCCATTTTCCACTGCTTTCCCAGGCCATAGCAGAGAGCTGGATCAGAAGTGAAGCAGCCAGGACTTGAACCGGTGCCCACATGGGATGCCGACACTGCAGGCGGTGGCGGCAGTTTACCCACTGGGCCACAGCACTGGCCCCCTTCCATGAACTTTTAGAAATACCCTTATATTTATTAGTCTCTCAGAATGAAAAATTGTGTTCAAAGTTACTATTTTCACTCCCTAAAATACAAACATTTTTGCTCATAAAGGTAACTGCTGATACACCTTCAATAATGTAGAAGCATATGAAACAGAAAATAAGAGTCAACTAGTAAAGCCAAGTGATGGAGTTGAGAACATCGTGCCTTTCAGCAACACTCTCAAGGCATTCTGGCTATTCTCCTCTAGGGGGCAAACTTGAACCAACATTTGGACAGGTAATGCCGGACGCAGAAGGCCAATGATAAAATCACTATCAGTACTTTCAAACAAACAGGAGAGAACTGCAGCATTTCCTATCGAAACCCTCAGAGATTGGATTAAACCATTTAAATGCTTGATTATTTTTATGATTTATCAATATCCTTAAAGGTACAGATGAAGGAAGGTGACAAGCTGGTTATCTCCATGGGGCACAGCAAGGATGTAAAATACCATGAAGATGATTCACACTTGACACAATGGGAAACTCAAGGCTGCGAAGTGAGGGAGGGGTTATAAATTCTATTTTTCTGTCTTTGGAGTTTTAACCTTCTATGCCAACCTTGGATTATGTAATGCTGTTTTGGCTGAATTCTTACTGTAGCTTTGGTGCCTGTCACCAGGTTAATTGACTGAGCACAGCTCCTCCCTACCTGCAAGTACAGAAATGTGAGGGAAAAAAATCAATAGTGAATTATGAAACCCTGTATTTTGTCCAGCTTCGGCAAGTGTGTGCCCTGTAGCTGTTAAGTGGCTTAGATCCCAGGATCCAGTCATACCTTGCTACAATAGAATGTGCCTTGATTCATTTTCTCTGAGTCTCTCCCTTGCTTAATAATTGCCAAGATTCATTTTTTTTTGCCTGCCTGCAGTGCGCTGGGAATACAACAAGCAAAACAGATCAAAGCTGCTGGCTTTAAGGAGCTGGCATTCCCATGATGTAGATAGATAGCAAACAACAATCAAAGAAATGCGTAGCATAAAATCAGGAGCACAGAGATGATGATCTTTTAGATAGGATTCCAAAAACACCCATCTGATGCGATGATGTTGGAGCCGAGGTATGAATGAAATGAGGGAAAAAGGTCCCAGGCAGGGGTACAGCCGTGCGAAAGCACTGAGGTGAGAGCTGGCTGGCTTTGTTTACCAATAGTAAGGTATTGCTGGAAAGGAGTGAACAAAAGCGTGCAGTGGGAACTGAGTTTGGAAAATGCCAAAGCCAGATAATCTAAGGCCTGGCTGGTTGTTAGCTTAAGTGCTATGGAAAGTTACAGGAAGGTTTTGAGTGTTTAAGTCATATGATCTGATTAATTTCATGGAAGGATACATTACAGGTGGCAACATTGCTATACCACTTCAGCTACTTTATCAAGTTGCCTTCATTAGTCACTGTCAGTTCTGTGGCTGGAAGCTAAAGACATTTTTTTTTTTTCATTTGAAAGAGTTACACAAAGAGAGGAGACACACACACACACAGTGAGAGAGAGGTCTTCCATCTGCTGGTTCACTCCCCAGATGGCCACAAAGGCTGGAGCTGCGCCGATCCAAAGCCAGGAGCCAGGAGCTTCCTCCGGGTCTCCCATGCGGGTACAGTGGCCTAAGGACTTGGGCCATCTTCTACTGCTTTCACAGGCCATAGCAAAGAGCTGGATGGGAAATGGAGCAGCCAGCTCTCGAACCGGCACCTGTATAGGATGCCGGTGCTTCAGGCCACGGTGTTAATCCACTGCACCACCATGCCAGTCCCAAAGACATTTTTGAAGTGGGAAAAACATGAAGGTAATCTCCATTTTAAGCCAAGATTATTTTCTTGGCAAACAGGATAGAGCAGGAACAGCCTTGTTGAAAGAATGGATGAATGAATCAACAACTGGTAATTGGAAAATCAGACTCGTTGACTGTATGTGAAGCCAATATGTTCTGAGCAGTGAAGCTTTTCCTGAGTGTTATAAGCTCATCAAAACTCAATTTCCTCTCTACTTCACTAATCCATGAGTATTTCCTAGGGGTTACATGGCTGCAGTATAATAGGCGCTGTTGGGATCACCAAGATGGGTGAGACACAGTTCTTAACCCTGAAGGAACTTCAATTTTAGTCGGTAAAATAGACATGCTTAGATTGATATTTGACTGACACAACAAGATATAATAAGTGCTGAGTATCAAAATAAGGAGTTCTGGTATGAAAGACAGGAAGAGGCCAGCACCGTGGCATAGCAGGTTAAAGCCCTGGTCTGCAGTATCAGCATCCCTTATGTGCACTGGTTTGGGTCCTGGCTGCTCCACTTCTGATTCAGCTCTCTGCTATGGCCTGGGAAAGCAGCAGAGGATGGTCTAAGTCCTTGGGCCCCTGCACCCATGTGGGAGAAGACCCAGAAGAAGCTCCTGGCTCCTGGCTTTAGATCGGCCCAGCTCTAGCTGTTGCAGTTATTTG